TTCATAGCAGTGTTATTCACAGTAACAAGAGTGTGAAACAGCCCAAATGCCAACGAACAAACATATGGATTGAGAAACTGTGATACATTCATACAATGTATGAATTTTTGTAAAATAGTATTATGAACAAATACCAATTCCATTCTTCAAAGAGATGGAAAAGGCAATCTCCAAGTTCATTTGTAATGGAAAGAGGCCCAGAATAAAGACAGCACTCCTTAAAAAGATAAATCACTCCCTGATTTCAAATCCTACTACACTGCCGTGGTGGTCAAGACAGTGTGGTACTGTTACAATGACAGACACACAGATCAATGGAATAGAATTGAGAATCCAGAAATCAGACCCTCTACCTATTGTCAACTGATTTTTGACAAGAAGCAAAAATCAATTAAGTGGGGAAACAAAAGACTTTAACAAATGGTGCTGGCAAAAATGGAAAAGTATCTGCAGAAAATTTCAAGCAAGGTCCAAACCTCACTCCATACACAATTCAAAGTGGATTATCGACCTAGGACTAAAACCATGGACTATAAACTTCATTAAAGAAAAGCTTGGAAGAACTCTAGAAGTCCTAATCCACAACATAAACAGTCTTCCAAGCATCCAGGAAAATCTATAAACAGGAGAGGATAAAATAGATGAATGAGACCTTCTAAGAATCAAATCTCTATGCACATCCAAAAACTTCTTCAACATGGTAAAAGGGAAACCACAGATTGGGGAAAAAATACTTGGTAATGACATGTCAGACAAGGGACTTATTATCTAGAATTTATAAAATACTAGAGCACCACAAGATAAACAATTAAAAAATGGGCACAGGATATGAGTAGATACTTCACCAAAGAAGACATTCAGATGGCAAACAAACAAATGGAAGAAATGTTCAAAATCCCTATCTCTAAAAGAGATGCAAACCAAAACAACTATGAAATATCATCTCACCCCAGTAAGAAGAGCAAAATTTAGTAGAACAGCAAACATCAAATGCTGGCAAGGTTGTGAAGAAACTGGAAACTTTATTCACTGTTGGTGGGAGTGTAAAATGGTGCAACCTCTACAGAAGGCTGTATAGCGCTTTCTCAAAAAGTTGCAAATAGATACCATTTGACCCAGCAATGCCACTACTGGGAATATACCCTAAAGAAACCATAACTGCCACCTAAGCAGATATATGCACACCCATTTTATTGTGGCAAACAAACACAGTAGCAAAGGGTTGGAAACAACCCACGTGCCCATCAACAAATGAATGGATAGAGAAGCTCTGGTATACTCACACAATGGAATACTATGCAGCACTGAAAAACAAAAACTCATGAAATATTATGCAAAATGGATGAGCCTGGAGGGGGAGGGCATTATGCTGAGTGAAATATCTCAGTCACAAAAGGACAAACACCGCATAGTGTAACTGTTGTAAAACGGGACTGACATCAGGGTTGAGGGAAGATAGAAGAGGAGGGGAGGAATGAGGTATATTGCATTGTAACAGATGAGGGAGAGAAATGTTTAAAAGGGATATAGGAATGGGTATTCTTGTCATTATAGAAGTCCAGAATGAAGGCTGCATAGTGGAGTGGACTTGGAGGGGGTTAGGGATTGCATAACTTTGAAAGAATTTTTCTTTCTTTTCAAGGAGAAGAGCAAATTAGGGGGCAGGGGTGGGTAGGGAGAAAAGTGCAACAATGAATGACTGGAAACCCTAAGTATCTGTAAACTTTCATTAAAATTAATTAAAAAAATTTAAAAAAGTATTATGCTGAAAGCACTATCTCAGTCTGATAAGGACAGATACTGCATAAGATCATTATTGTAAAAATAGATGGATAATTAAATTAGTAAGTTGTGTATAAATGTCCTGAAGAGGAAAGAGGACAGAAAAAGGAAAAAGGTGAAAATCACTAGGAAAGTAGAGTTTAGTGGGTGGATTGAAGGGTGGTGGTAAAGGAATAGGAAAGATTCAGTGGGGACTGAAAAAGACAGGGTAAAATTAGGTATAGATCAATAGTAATTAATTATACTAGTAGAATAATTTTATGAAATACAATGTAAATGACAGATTGTTTAAAACACATGTACATGAATGAAACACAATGTAAATGAATGACTGTACACAAACAAACAAAACTCCAATTAACTCATTTCTACCAAGTCAGTACCAACTCATTTGGCTCACTGACCTGATGTAAACAAGTGGGACTTCTGATATCATGACCTTTAGTCACCTGGAAATAAATGAACTTACTCCCATAACAAACTGCTGTAAAAAAATTGACAGATCTGGAAGTTAAATACTAACACTAGGGAGGCAGTCCCTTAGAACAATCTCCCACAAGAGATCAACAGAGTGGTATTTGCCAAGAGATAAAGTTCAGAAAGTAGAAAGGGAGGATAGGAAAGGATGAATGGGAAACAAAAACGATGGAGCACTGTTACAATATGGGGATTGTCATCAATTTCATAAAACAAAATCTGAAAGCTTGAATGGGATATCAATCTGCTCTTTAAACTTTCACTCAAATCACACTAATGTTAAACATATAAATGTAACGTCTTCTTTCCTCTTTGCCTGTATCTCTTGTCAATCAATAAACAAGTAAATTGATGTGTTACTCACAAAATCTGAAGAGAGCTAAGGAACATGGATTATTTTTCAATCTTGTCACAATCCTATTTTATACCAAAGTACAGTGGAGGAAACTATGTATGTGTGTGTATACATAAACATACATATACATGTATGTACATATTAAATACAGGTACATATTATAAGGGTGCTCTGGTGGCTTAGTGGTAAGGAGTAAAGGATGTGGTTTGAATTCGCCAGCTGTTCCAAGGGAGAAGAATGGGCAATATCTTCCCATGCTATTAACTGTTTCAGAAAAATCACTGGAGGGTCAGCTATGAGGGGGTTCTGACTCTATGGTACAAAAAACACACATAATTGTGGAGGTATACAAGTCACAGTCTTTCCAATCACTTGTAATGCACTTGAGAGCTGGATAATGAATTAGGATGACAGAAGAATTAATGCATTTGAGTTACAGTGTTGGAGAAAAGTGCTGGATATCCCATGGCCTGCTAAAAGAACAAACATTTATTTCGGAGAAAGTGCAACCAGAGTGCTTCTTGAGTCAAGGATGATGAAGCTTCATCTCATATACTTTGGGAATGTTGTTAGGAGAGGCTATTCCTTGGAAAGGGTTATAATGCTTAGAAAATTGGAGCGTCAGTGAAGGAGAAGATCTTAAGGAGATGGATTGATACAGTACCTGCAGCAATGAACTCAAATGTGTCAGGGATGATAAAGACTGGCCCAGGATAGGACAGGGTTCAGATTGGTTTTTCATAGGATTGCTAGGAGTTGTATTTGATGGCACGTAACAACCACACACACACACACACACACACACACATTGTTGTTGTTGTTGTTGCTGTCAAGTTGGGACCAACTCATCTGATCCTCCAGTGAACTGAACCCTCCAGAAGCAGTTAATCACATGGGAGGAGACTGGCCATCCTTCTGTGGAGTGCTGGTGGATGCAAACTGTGTACCTTTGCGATTGCATCGCAGTGTCTTACCACTAGATCACGAGAGCTAGTGAGTGTGTACAGTTACAAATACATACACACACACACACACACACACACACACACACACACACACACACACACGAGAATTCTGGTAGCCCTGGGGGCAATCTTCTATGTGATTCACTGCCTCTGAAAACCTGCTGGAGGGTCAGCTATGAGTTGGTTCCAACATGATAGTATATAACAACACTACCATCACATACATGTTGTTGTTATGTGCCGTCGAGTCGCTTGCGACTCATAGCGACCCTATGTACAACAGCCCTAAACTCCGCTCTGTCCTGTGCCAATCGCACTGTCTCTGACACTCCCATCCCAATTATCCCAGTCACTGAATTAATCTACCTCATAGAGGGCCTTCCTCTCCTGCGCTGTCCCCCCACCCTCCCAAGCATGATGTCCCTCTCTAAGGACCGGTCTCTCCTCACAACATGTCCAAAGTATGTTAGATGGAGCCTCAGAATCCTTGCCTCCAAGGAGCCACCCGGTTTAACCCTTTCCGGGACAAATCTGTCTGTTTTCCTAGCAGTCCATGGTATTCTCAATACTCTTCTCCAGCACCACATACATACACACTGGAAATTCTAGTGCAATGGTAAAAATTCTATAGAAAAAAACTGGGATATGTTCTAAGTGTAGTATTTTTTCAAGAACTAAAAAATATGAAGTCAATCACAGATATTTTGTATTTCAAAGAAGTACAGCTTCCGTATTTCAAACAATTCTATTAAGCAAGTATTTGTGAATATAGAAACCACAAAGTTAGCACTTCCTCAATTTTCATCTCACTTAGAAATAGATGCAGCTTAAATCATGTTAACAGTGACAAAATATTACATTAACTCTATCTAGGAATCAACAAGTTTATTACTAATTTGGAAATTTACTAAACAAAAAACGAGTTGCTTCATAGTCAATTCCAACTCATGTGACTTCATGTGTATTAGAACTGAATTGTTCTCCATAGGGGTTTTTAAAACTAAATTTTCATTTTATACTGGCTTACTTACAAAGTTCATATACATTTTCACACTGGATCTTTCCCATTTCCTTTACCCACCCATCTCCCCTCCCTCCACACATCAAATTGTGTGATTCTGCCATCCTTACCCCTCTGTTCCCAACCTTTTCCCCTTGAGTCCGCATACACGTTTTACCAGTTATCTATTTCTACAATGATGGTCTTATACAGTATTTGTCCTTATAGGACTGAGTTAGTTCCCTTAGCATAATGCTCTTCCAGCCCCTCCCAAGTGACTCCACAGGGCTTTAAAAAATTTCTTATAATGTCATTTCAAGCAGAAGTATGTTCACTTTGCATTGCATTTGTTACATTACACCTTATATTTTATTTCTAATTAAGCAGTACAAAAAAGTATGCCTGAGTTGATACAACTTACCTTCCCACATGCTCTGCAATGATGCCTCCTTTTGGTGAATGTAAATCTAGCTTCGCATTTCATGCAATTTGGAGCCTGAGAATCTGGTACCCATACTGGAGCCACCTCACCCAGAGTTGTAAATGGCTTTCTGGCAGAAATTCCAAACTGGCCAGCTCTGAGGTCATTATCTGGACTATCTGGAGCTAATGCAAGGCACGGTCTACTGGAGATCCCAGCCTCATAACTTTCTAAATGTTCCCCATTGGTATCAGCATTAGAGATGTTTCCCAAAGAGGCATTGCACACATTGGTTGCTGAGTTTTCTCCTAATTTTGCTTTCCCAAGAACATCATTCTTGTTTTTAATATTATTTCCACTGTTTGCAGGAAGGTCATTTTGTAAATGATCTGATAATGGCTTTGGGATTTGAAGCTTAAGATTAGAAGGTTGTTTAGGTCTTGCACCACCAAAAGGAACACTGATAGATTGCAGATTCGCAATCTTGGGGGAAGATTGCCCAAGCACTGATGGAACTTGACTACAGAAATTGTGCAAATAATTTTTCTTCATTAAGTCACCAGTGCTGTTTAAAAGCAGTCCACTTCCGTCTGTGGCCTCATTTCCTCTCTGCTCATAAATATTTGAGTAGCATTCCAATTTGCTTTCCTCTATTTCCTTTTCTTCTGTTACTGAATCTTCTTTGGAGGGTAAAGTCTTTGGAACAAAACCAACAACTGGACTCTGCATTCCACAGGAATCACAGCCATTAGAAAGAGAATTTGCTGCTGGTGTATCTGTAACAGTGGAGAAATCACATTCTTCACTTTCATTCATACAGGTTCCTTTAAAATCTAGACCGACTTCTGCTAGTCCACCACACTCTCCTCCATTATCAAAAGTGTCCTCAAGCTCACTCACTGGCACAAACTTTTCATTTTCTTCATTTACTTGATTGTTATCCACTTCATTTAGTTTAGTCAATTTCCAATTAGTTACCTCTTGAGATTCAGAGAAATGTTCTGTCAAACTAAGAATTTCTATAGTGCCAATAACTTTTTCATGTTCACAACCTTCATTTTCATCAGCTCTAACATCACTGGGCCCAAGGCAATCTGAAAATTGTTCACAGTTATCATCCCTTTCAGATCCATTAGGCATGTCTGGATTAAGAAGCAAAGGTAAATTAGACTGCAGGCATTCTTCTGTTGTTCTTTCTTCTGATGACTCTTTCTGCACCAAAATTCCCTCACTCACGTGAGAAAAGGAATTTGGACTACCTACAGCTGTTCTAGCAGAGATGGTTTTGCCAGTGAGAACCTCATCAGGTATACAATTCTCTTGTTTCTTCACAGCAGAACTTTCATCTGTTTCTTGAGATGTGGTCATTGAATCAATTGTTAAACTTGTAATTATAGACAAAGAGTCATCTCTAGTTTTATTTTCATCATTCTTTAATTGTGAAGGGGGACAGACATTGGTGAGACTATCAGATGAAGTAGGACATAGATGGTTAATGGAATTTCCCTCTGCATTTGGTCTAATCAATGGATCCATTTGTTTCTCTGAGTTTGTATCTTTTTCAGTGGACCCATTTAAACTAAAGCTAAATTGATCAGTTTGTTTGCTTTCATTATCCAGTGAACAGCTAAATGCATCCATAAGAGTTTGATTATTATAGTTGTTACAATCTTGCAAATCACTTTGTAATGTCCTTTTATCACAGTTATGCATGACTGCTACAACAAGAACGTTCTTCTCATCTGGCCGGCAAGCCAGGTTTCCACATTTCTTTTCTCCACCTTCGATAGCACTGCACTGATCATCTCGATTGCAGTTTTTCTTTAGTTTATCTTCTGCAACAGCATTCTCATCAATCCACATCGTGTCAATCTCTGGATTTAGACTGTCGTCCTGTCCATTAGCACAACAATCTCCTCCTTCTGTGGTCAGAGTAGTAGAATGAGCCAGAGAGAAGACTTTTACTTGTGACTGTGACTCATTAGAAACCACAGGTTCATTCACACTAGCCAATGCAGGAGTAAACGACAGATGGTGAGAAGAAGGCTCTAGAATCTTATTCCACTTTGTATCCAATAAAGTAGGAGAAACTGTTTCATCTGAAAAAATAAATAATGACAGTAAGTTTGCTGGCAACACTAGGAAAGCTATCAAAACTAAATTAATAAACTACATTTTGAACTATAAAAATATATTGCTAGGATAAAAAGTTTTCTAATTTCCAACTAAAAATAGTCCTTAACATAAGCACATACAGCTAGAAGGAAGAAAATAAATCCTGAAATTATGTTATGACTTTAAATGAAAACTACTAGAATCAAAGTAGGAAGCTCTAGCAGCTTAGTGGTAAGGAGCTGTGCAGACAACCCAAAGGACCATGGTTCGAATAAACCAACTTCTCCAAATCAGAAAGATGGGCAACCTCCTTCCATGCAGTTTATGACTTCTGAAAACCCACTGGACAGTCAGCTATGAGTACGTTCTGACTTGATGGTACACAGTAACAACAAGAATCAAGGTGGTTCTGACATATAATGATGTTTCCTTCACATTTCTAAGGCTGTAAATCTTTATGAGAGGAGATTGTTCATCTATTTACCTTGGGGCACACAAGAGATTTGAACTACTGACTTCTTGGAAAGTAGTCCAACATGTAATTATAAACAAAATAAAATAAAATGGAGATATATAAAATATTGCAAACAAAAGAATTCTATCATAATTTAGTAACATAATTTATTGCGTCCTGGTGTCCAGTCACAGGGACAGTACTCTCAAATTGCCCAGGCATGAGGGACTAATATCAGGTAAAAAAAATTAATCAGCACAGTGATAAACAGTACTCAAACAGGAAATTTTCTGTGGAGACATAACACACTATAATCAATGTTATGACTGGGGTGTGAGTTACATAATACAGTCATTTGTCAAAACGACATGTCTGATCCAGGCCATGGTCTTTGATTACTTGTTTTGTATCTGAGAACGGCACAATGAATAAGGGTGACAGGAAAATAAATGACATTTTTGAGCTGCAGTGTTGGAGAAGAGCACTGAACATCCCATGGATGGCCAAGAGAATAAACAGATATGTCTTGGAGATCGTGCAGCCAGAGAACTCTTTGGAGGCAAGGATGAGGCTTCACCTCATATACTTGGGGCATGTTTCCAGGAGGTGCTATTCCTTGGAGAGGGACATGATGCTGGGAAGGGTGGAAGGTTAGCAAAGGAAAGGAAGACCCTCTACCAGGTGGATTGACATGGTGACGGCTGCAATGGGTTCTTGTGTATCAGGACGGGTAAGGATGGCACAGGATAGAACAGGGTTCAGATCTTCTGCTCATAGGGTCACTCTGAGTCATACTCGACTCGATGGCACCTAACAACAACCACAACAACACAGTTAGTATCTGTGTATCTTAGTGCATGTAAATTTTACCTAAAGACATTTTTAAAAATGCTTTTTATTCCCCCTTGTTGTGTACCACTGAATTAGGTCTGACTGGCACAGGAGGAGATTGCCACTCCTTCTCCAGCAGAGCATCTGGTGAATTCATACTGCATAACTTTGGGAATGCAATGCAGCTTCTTGCCACCAGAGCTCCCTGAAAACATTATTTTAAAAATAACAGCAAAGCTGAAAGCAAGGCCCAAATAGAGGTATAAATGAAATAAAACAAGATCATTTTTGAAGCTGCATGATGGGCACACGGGTTTATTATACTATTGTGTTCATTCTGTAGATATTTTAATTATGTTCAATACATATTTTAAAAATAAAATTTTACCACAACACACACAATTCTGTTGATAAGCTTGTCACAATGCATTATTAATTAGGTTTATACTTACACTATTACCTGACTATCTCTGAAAGGTAGTATTTATTTATCTTATTAAACCAATCTACCTATATTCATCAGTGAGCATTATTTCACATAAAATGTATTACTTTTTAACAGAACACAATTGTAACAGCTAAGTTATTCTCCAAAATTACAGTACTACAGCGTATGTTTTTAAAAAGAGAAATAATAAATAAAGACCTTGTTACCCTTCTTCTGGGAGCACCTCTGATCTTCAAGGTCTGGAATTTATGCAAATATGTTCTGTCATCAGTAATAAAATTTATTTTATACTACCATGCTAACTTATCCATATTCCCACTAAAGCATTTACTATACTGTAAGGAAATGGTTTGTTTACCTGTATCTTTGACATATTTAAATTGTAGGTAGAAATACTTTTTCCATAAATGTAAGTGCTCATTTTGCACAGTGCCTGCTTATATAAATATGTTTATATTTTGATACCATAATAAAAGCACTGGGCTTGAGCAACATGAAGAGTAAATGACAATTCTGGCCTCTAGGAAATATATAATCTATTTTGGAGAATAAAACATTGATAAAATACATATGACTCTCTAATTAGCAATGTAGGATAGCATAAGAATTTGAAATCTATTACATTGTAGAAAATAAATTCATATAGAAAGATATTTTTAAGGCTGACATAGCAAGCTCAAATTCATGAAAGCAGAAGGACCTGGTTAGGTTTCAAAGACAGGTTTTGTTGGGTTTTTTTTTACATATTTTCATTGGTTTGTAAACAAGCATTCATATATATTGTATTTAATGCATTATGTTTTATATAATATTTCATTTACATTGTATTTAACTAATATTGCAAGGTTCCCCGCCTCATAATTACCTTAGTAATAACTGTACTAGCTAGTTCATTGTCCCGTTACTATGCCCAGTTTAGACACTTTCTGATTTGTTCACCCCTATCAAACCAGTACTGTGAGGTAAAAAGCATGTTTTTTTTGCTGAAGGATCTGTTGTTCAGTTTGGAAACTAAAGGCAGTTTTCAAAAATTTGTAAGAGTGCATTTAAAAGCAATGTACTACAAAGAAAAGCATAGGTCTATACGCAGCAATTTGAAAGAGCAATAAAAAAATCAGTTTGAGTTGAGAAAAAGCTTAGTATAAGAAAGAAGTATGCAACAATGAATGAATAGAAATCCAAAGTCTCTGTAAATTTTCATTGAAATTAATAATAAATTAAATACAAGCAAAAAAAGAAAAACATTTAAAAAATTTAAAAAAAGACGTAAAAAGCAGCTAGGAAAGATAGTAAAAGTTCTAAAAAAGCATCACATTTTATGATAGTCTCAGAATCCTCTACATGTTAAATCCTGAATCTGGACTAGTAAAGATTCAGATTTGGTAATAAATGCATGCAATAAGGAAAAAAACAAATAAATCCATGTATTCAAGCTAGTTCCTGAAAATACAAAATGAAAAAATGGGTTTTCTTACAAGAATACTATTAAACTCAATTTCTTATTATTCAAACTGGAATTATTAAAAATTGTAGAACAAGTACAAGGATCCAAGAAGGGGATGGGGGAGCTTAATCATAGGGTCACAGAATTTGATGGGTAAAGGAAAGGGGAAAGATCCAGTGTGAAAAACAATGTATACAGATTTTATGAACTTAGTATTTTATGAACTTAGTAAACTAGTATTTTTAAAAGAGAGAGAAAAAGGTTACGTGAGATAAGAGGAAAAAACCCACAATTTTATTTTTCAGCTACCTTCTCCTTGTCATTTACAATCAAGTCAGAATTGACTCATAGCTGATCCTTCAGTGGGTTTTCAGAGGCACTTAATCGCATGGGAGGGGAATGCCCACCCTTCTCCCATGAAGCAGCAAGAGAATTTGAACCGCATACCTTCAGGAATTGAAGCACAGATTCTTACTACTAAGCCAGGAGAGCTCCCTTAGTCATAACATTTATTACTTTGTTTCATCATACTCTGAGGTATATTTTAACTTAAAGAAGGAAATAAAGAACATAAAATGAGAAAGCGCTTTAAAGCATACCTACAAAAGTACAAGCCTTTTCCAAGTATACTTAGTTTTAAGTTGTTATTGTTGTTGTTATGTGTCACGGAGTCCTCTGCAACTCAGAGTAACTTTATCCTATCCTAAACCAGTCTTACTGTCTCTGACATACCTAACCCCTTTACCAATTCATGTGTTAATTTATTCAATTCTGGGTCAATTCATCTCATCCAGTGTCTCCCTCTCCTGCACTGTCCCTCCACCCTTCCAAGAATGATGTCCCTTTCCAAGGACTGGTTCCTCTTGGCTAATGCCCAATGTGTCCGAGACAGAGCTTCAAAATTCTTGCTTCCAAGGACAGTTTTAATAATAAAAATTAAAAAACAATTTAAAAAAAAAACAAAACAAAACAAAAAAAATTCAAAGAAATGACTCAAATAGTTGGCTGTTTTCCAAAATCCTTTTTCTTCAAAAAGACTTCTGTATTAGCAAATATAACTTCTATAAGCATTTCAAACTAAAGTGCCATTTTTTACTCATTTAATAAAACTCTATGTTGTTGTTATGTGCCGTCAAGTTGCTTATGACTCATAGCGACCCTATGTACAAGAGCCCTAAACCCTGCTCTATACTATGCCAACCTCACTGTCTCTTACATACCTACTCTCACTACTCCAATCACTAAATCCATCCACCTCATTGAGGGTCTTCCTCTCCTTCGCCGCCCCTCCACTCTCCCAAACATGATGTCCCTCTCCAAGGAATGGTCCCTCCTTGCAACATGCCCAAAGTATGTCATACATAGCTTCAGAATCCTTGCCTCCAAGGAGCGCCTGGTTTAACCCTCTCCAGGAAAACCTGTTTGTTCTCCTAGCAGTACATGGTATATTCAACACTCTTTTCCAGCACCACAGATCAAAGGCATCAATTTTCTTCCTTTCATCCCTAGTCACTGTCCAGCTCTCCAATGCATAGCACACAACTGTGAAGCCTATGGCCCAGATCATGCGCACCTTAGTCTCCAGCATGATGTCATTTCTCTTCAGTACTCTGGAGAGGTCCCTGACAACTGACTTTCCCAATGCAATTCGTCTCCTGATTTCCTAGCTGCTGGTACCAAGAGTGTTGACAGTGGAGCCAAGCAAATTAAAACTGTTAACTATCTCAATCTCTTCACCATCCATAATGATGTTGCCAATTGGCAGAGTGGTGAAAATCTTTCTTTTCTTGATGTTGAACTGCAATTTATATAGAAGGCTACATATCTTGACCTTGTGCAGCAAGCACCTCAGGTCCTCCTCAGTTTTAGCAAGGTGCACCTGATCCGAGCCATAGTCTTTGCAACTGTGTGCTATGCATCAAAGAGCTGGACAGTGACTAGAAAATCAATTATCTACAAAGTACTTCTACTAGAATCTACAGAAGTCACAAAGAGACTAATGTGGTGAACTAAATTAGAGTCAATACTATTCTACAATACTGACTACCTACCTACTCCTTGCTGTTTTTACTGTTGTGTACCACGGAGTCAGAACTGACTCGCAGCTGACCCTCTGGTGGGTTTCAGATTCACATGTTCGTAGAGTTGCTATGAGTCATAATTCAATGGCACCTAACAACAACTATTCTGTAAGCTGATTATTCACAAGATTCATTTTAGTACTTAATGTAGATATCTACTGACTGAAATATCTGTGACACATAAAGGATCAAATGGCTGACTTTCTGAAGATAATACATATTCCAGTATGGTAAGGAAAAAACCCAGCTAGACCCATCAAAATCTAAAATTATTAGATTTCACAATCAAGAATGACCAGGTTAGCTCTGAATCATCAACTGGAAAAGACAAGTAAAACAAGCCATTCCAGGGATCCTTCCTCTTCTATTTTCTGTCCTATTCCCAGAATTCCATATTTTCTTTAAAGTTTGCTCTACCACAGACCCAGAGTGACAAATCAAAATCTTTTCCGCACTATTACTAAGAAAAATCTAATTGCTAGGTATAGTGGAGATCTGGTAAGTAAGTCTGAATTAAAGGACTTCAGACAAAAACATATTACTTTGTAAACATGTTAAAATAATATTTAAGAAAAAAACCTTTTTATTTCTATTTGGTCATCAATTTATAGAGCACTACTATTCACTTTTAGAAAGAGAATTCAGGGAAATAGGGTAAGATGAAAGATTTAAACATATCTGATTAATTCAACTCAAACTAAAGGCATTTTAGGGAAAAGATTTACCTTTTTTTTTTAAGATTTACTTAAAAGTAAATTTTAAACTGACATTTTTAGATGGAGCCTTGGTACCTTAATTAACTATTTAAGGAGATATTTAAAAATATAAATTGTTAAAAATTTGCTTTAAAATGTATCTTTAATTTCCAACTCCACATGAGCTTGGCAATGACTGTGAAGAATGTTTAGGTCAATAAAAAAGAAAACCAAGTATTTTTTAAAAAAAACAACTTTATTTATCTAGATAAGCAATACAAAAGAGGCTATTTTTCTTAGGCAAATACAAAACACGCATTCTAAAGCTTTCTCTTGATCATAATGTAGGGATATCACAAAGTCCAGATTCTAATCCTGCCTGAGCTCTTACTACCTACAATGTTAATAAGGCAAATAGATTTACCAATGCAAATTCTCACCTTCGTTTTGTTCAAATTCATCTAACACCCTGTCCAGGTTGTAAGCTTCTGCTTGGAAGTAATTCTCCATCGGTGAGGAAACACCACTCAAGGGACTTGTTTAAACCTAAGTAAATAAATTTGTATTAAACTTTCAATTATTAAATTACAATATCTAGTATATGCAACGATAAAGTCTCAAAACTCTAAACTTAACATATAATCTCACTAGATGTATATTAAGATCTTTAAGCTAAAAAAAAGTCTAGAAATCTATAAACTGATATTTACCAAAATTTAACAAAACTGAGATGGCTGACACTGTGATGATCTCAATAAGATATACTTCAAATCACAGATATACGGAGAGGAATAATTTGGCTTTAAATTATTTTTGTATTATAAAAGGAAATACTGATTTCCCATCCCCTCAAATGGGAAATTACAGGAAAATTCAAACACAAGGATGAATGAAACACTAGTTTCAAGATGTTAATGACAACTCTAAAGCAATTCTTTTTTAAAAAAATCTCTTCAAGGATTGGAAGCTCTGATAACCTAGTGGCAAGAAGCTGCACTGCAATCCCAGAGGCTCAGAGTTGAAATCCACCAAATGCTCTGCTAGAGAAGGAGGGACAATCTCCTCCTGTACCAGTCAGATCCAGTTTGACGGTGGTTGTTGTTGTTATGTGTCATCGAGTCGCTTGCGACTCATAGCGACCCTATGTACAACAGCTCTAAACTCTGCTCTGTCCTGTGCCAATCTCACTGTGTCTGACACACTGATCCTGATTGCCCCAGTCACCGAATCAATCCACCTCCCAGAG